TTATTATTATTATTATTATAGTAAGTACATGTAACATGCATAACAAGGACACCTTAAAATAAAGTTACACAAAAAGTTAAAATGACCAAATTCTTCATATAAATTTCATTATTCGAATTGGAAATTGGTACAAAAACATCATAGCAAAAACTAATGCTAGTCTAACTAAAAAAGGTTCAGCTTATTGAAAACAAATAGTAATAAAACAAGAACAACAACTGTACCAACAGAAACTAATTATGAGCAATAGGACAAATAAATACAACAGAACAAAGATGCAAATTAAATAGTAATTTTAGTTTTTCAGGAAATCAAAAAATTAAATACTTCAGAAATAAATTCATCAAATGTTAAAACAAAACAGCATAGTTTTCTTTGTATGAATTAAATATAGATTGGGGAGAAGAATGAAAAGTCAAATGCTGAAAGAAGACGATGGTAAAACACGACTGGTAGTAACAGTGTGCAAAAACATTAAGACTGAGATAAGAAAATGAAAGTGGAGGAGAAATGCTGTGGTGCTGGAGATCAAAGAAAAGATGAAAAGAGATGAAACGGATGAATTTCATACCTGCGACTTCTGATCCCACCTCTGGCGAACTCCAAATTGCTTCTGGAATTTCTTCTGCAAGCGCATGCGGTCCCTATCCAAGAAAGATAAGGATGAGTGCATGTTGACAGGTCACAACTAAATGTTTTAGTGTTTTTTTCTCCCCAACTGGGTAAGCAGAACTCACCTTTCCTTCTGCTTGGCGCTCTTAGGCAGGGTCTGCATGTTGAACTGAGTAAGGGTCCTGCGATCTTTGTCTCTCCGAAGATTCCTCTGTAGAAGAAATGCAAAAAATATGATAAAGACTTAAAACTGAGAGAACATGGAGTTTAAGAGAGAGGTTATAGTAAGATAGAAAGAATGTAAATGTTCAGAAACCCACCTGAGCGAACCGCATACGGTTCCTCTGATAGGCGGTCTTCTGAGTCTTAGCAGTATCCACCAACTGGAAGCTGGTCTCATCCTCCTCATGGAAATAAGCA